CATGACGAGGATGCAGCCTCTGCTTCCTTGGAGCACCCACTCCTGGAACCTTCCTGGCAGCCCACCCTGAGTGTGTTTTTGGGAAAAGGCCCTTTCTAATCTTACCTTGGCGGAGGCCTCATTACGGTGATAAAATCAAGTCTGGGCAATTTGTTGCTCTGGTCACCTGTGAGTGTGTTGGGTGGGGCATTTGGGAGGCCGCCTGTGGTCACTTTAAAGGAATGAGTCTGGGCGTGCACTGTGGGGAAGTGCCCTGTTCCTGGGCTGAGGAGAAGGTGCGTGAGTTGGGAAACAAAACAAGATAGGAGAGAGTACAGCCCCTTGTGGTCCAGCTCTCAGTCTGTATCCTGGGCAACAGCCTGGGGGAGGGAGGTGGTGTTTGGATGGGTGTAGCAGGTAGATGGAGGGAATTTAGGGTGTGAGCTCTGAGCTGGTGTGAACAGGTCAGAGGTAGCTATTCCTCTATGTCCCTGACTCGATGCCACATGCTTTCTGACTGATTTTCTTGGATCAGTCCAGATAGGGCAGATGCCAGCATTGTCTGCTTGGGGCTGGTCAGAGAGGATGCCTGAGGGTGGCAGGCAGGGTGAGAGACGGTGCTCCTGTCTGCAGATCTCACGGCTTTCTGGACCTTTGCAGCCCCCTTCATTTTGTCTCCTCCTTATGTTTCCAGGACACTAGAGGAGGCAGCTGAGGAGGTAGGGAAGGAATTTAAGAAATGCAAACTCGCCCTGGCCATGTGTGGTTCAGTTGGTTGGGCCACATCCCATGTACCGAAAGGTTGAAGGTTTGATTCCCAGTCAGGGCACATGCCTGGGTTTTGGGCTCGATCCCCAGTAAGGGGTGTGCAGGAGGCAGCCAGTCGATGTTGCAGTGTCATGTCGATGTTTCTCTCTCAAAAGCAATGAAAAATCTTTAAAAAAGAAAAAGACTTATTAAAAGATCGGTAAAGGCAAAATCATTTGCATTAAAAGAAGAAAAAAAAAGAAATGCAAACTCATGGAATCTGGTCCAGTTGGTCAAATAAAGAGCTCATAGGAGAAGTAGGGTGGGGGCAGGACGTCAGCCTGGGTCATCAGCAACCAGAGGCCTTTGCCTGGGACTAGGGTGAGGAGCTTGGACTCTTACCTGAGACACAAAACACAGATTGAATATCCAGGGCTAACCTGTTTGCCTTTCCTCAGATGCTGTCAGCCAAAGGGAGGTACAGCAGGCTAGATGGAAGGAAGATCTGCTTCTTTTCTATTTTCCCTTCCTTTCTACTTTGAGCCCCAGACTAGGTTGAGTAAGAATAAAGAATGAAGCCTCCATGGTAAATGAGGAGCCGGGGGCCCTAGTTATCAGGATGTTCTCAGAGGGGCTCGGCATCTCTCTTGGATACAAGCCCTCTCTGATCTGGGCCTGGAGTTCAAAGCACAGCCTGGCCAGACTCGGTGTTACTTTGTCTGCTAATATTGAGATTGAGCATATCACTGTAATCTTTGGCTTTCGAGATTCCCTAATGATGCTGAGTGCCACAGACAACCATCTGGTTGGGACGGTGCATTTAAAATACGGAGTAGCTCTAGCCAGTTTGGCTCAGTGGTTAGAACATCGGCCCAAGGACTGAAGGGGGTCCCGTGTTTGATTGCGGCCGAGGGCACATACCTCAGTTGCAGGCTTGCTCCATGGCCCCCAATTGGGGAACGTACAGGAAGCAACTAATCGATGTGACTCTGACATCGATGTTTCTCTCTCTCTGCCTTCCACTCTCTCTGAAAAGCAGCGGAAAAAATATCCTTAGAAGAGGATTTAAAAAAAAAAAAAGAATAAACCTCATTTAAAGTAAATAAATAAATAAAATACGGAGTAAACCTGTCAAATGTTTCCTCCAGGGCTGTTATCTCCAGGTGAGCCCGTGTCGCTGAGCAGACGATATTGCTGGGATAAATGACAAAAAATGTTTTAGTTCCTTTTCTTCCCATGTTCCAAAATGTGTGTTTGTGAGGATGTGAAATCATGAGCGAGTTGTTTGCTCGTTCCTCCAATGCCTGCTCTTATGAGGATGTGATGGTGTCTTCCAGATCGAAGCAAGGCCGAGATGGATTTGAAGGAGCTGAGCGAGTCTGTCCAGCAGCAGTCTGCCCCCGTTCCCCTCATCTCTCCCAAGCGGCAGATCCGCAGCAGGTTCCAGCTAAATCTTGACAAGACGATAGAGAGTTGCAAAGCACAACTAGGTATGTCTTTTGGTTTGCTTCATCATTGTCATCATCATCATCGTCGTCGTCATTTGTAGGGATACCACCCAGGTGAAATCAAAGTTGGATCCTGGCTGCATTGAACCTTGAGTTGTTTGTTCAGTTAAAATATATTTTTGCTCATGGCAAAATATTTCAGATTTGCTAGTTAATTGTTCAGACGGGCTCCTTGAATTCCTCCAAGTTTATTGTTTGGTTGTGGCAGCCGCAGGCTCGAGGTACAGGGCGTGAGATGCTTTAGAAGCAGAAAGGTCCTCCTGCATCTGCCTCTGCACACCCTCTCAGTACAGGGTAGTGTCCTGAAATCAGGATCAGGTCTGTCCCACAAGTGTCAAACACAAACCCTTCTCCAGACTGGCCTTCTCCACCCGGCAGACCCATCCTGCTTCCTTACCTGTTGCCTCCCTCCCTCTTCCCCCATGCTGCCTGCCTTCATGCTGTCTACCTGAATCCTGTCCCTAATGCTGAACTTGGTGTCACCTCCTCCAGGAAGTCTCCTCTCACTGCTCTCCCCATCTGCCCACCTTCTTTGATACTTCATTGCTCAGAAGCAACAGTGGTCCCTTTGTTTGGGGGTATCCATCCCAATCTAGCCTAGAAGCTCATTGAGGGGAGGGAGGCTGCTTTAAAAGTATTTGCCTTCTCCAAGGCACTTGGTCTTGTGCATATAATAATGCTCTGGAATGTTGGTTGAATAAGTAAATAAAGACAGAGGGCATTTAGAAAGAAATAGGGGATAGCTGGGCCTCAGGAGAGAGAGCCGATTTCTGGAGAAGTTTGTGTGTTAGTGGGTGCTTTGGACCTTTGGGTGAGAAAGCAGCTGTAGTTCAGAGTCATCTGGGCTGTCAGAGAACATTCCTTGTTCGGTTGCCTGTTTGGTTAGGACACTGACTGGCAAGGATGAAGTCTTGCAGTCCATTTAAATGTCTCTTTTGGGTCCTTCCACACAGTTGGTCTAACTTCTTGATTTTTTTATTGTTGTTAATAAGAATTTTAATATTTCCATTTACTGAGTGCTTCCTGTGCACCCTGCACTGTGCTGAGTAAGCACCGTGCAGAGATTGTCCTGGGAGGTTGATACTATTATCAATTCCTTTTTGCAGATGAAGAAACAGGCTCAGAGAGGTACGTCCCTCACTCGTTCAGGGTTACATAGCTAATCAGAGCAGTGGAGCAGGATTTGGATTCCTATCCTTCGGGCTCCAGTACCCATGCGTTTTCTGTCACATGTGTGATCATGCTGGTCCCCCTTATGTCTAACCATTAGCTACAGTAGCATAAGATCCAGGATCCAGAAATTATACCAGATCTGGGTTTTCGTATTTTTACTTTTCCTGTTTTTTATTGAGCCTTGGTAGAGGCAGATGTAATTCACCAATGATTCTAGTGCCCTGGGCTGTTCATGGCTCTGTCCTTCTGCGAGTTTACCTTCAGTGTGTCTGGGTCAGGTCAGTGAGCCCACTCGTGGTGTCATTGCTGTAGAATGAAGATAACTCAAAGATTGATTGGGATTTCCTCTTTTCAGGATTTTAGGACATAGTATTATTCACCTGCTGCCTGGTAGCAGGAGGCATAAATGGGTGAAACTGAACTACTGTTAGAAATATGCTTCTGCNTATAGTATTATTCACCTGCTGCCTGGTAACTCATTACTGGTAATAGGAGGCATAAATGGGTGAAACTGAACTACTGTTAGAAATATGCTTCTGCCATTATCATTTGTGTGTGTGTGTGTGTGAAACACCTGTCACTTTGCCTGTTTCCCTTTTGATAGAGACATGGAAATAATGTGTTTTTCCTCTTGGCTCCATTATAAGTGGCCGAACAATACAAACACACGGCCATCCCCTCTGCAACAGTGTGGAGAGCGAGAGGGATGCGGCCAGCTGGGCCACCTGGAAACAGTGCTTCCCCACCTAAAGGGGCTGGTGGCTTCTCTGCCCCAGCCAGCCCTTACATTGCAGGCCTGTTGGCCAGAGTGGCCAGGTCTGCTCTCTCAGCAGAAGCCTGCCATCTTGATTTCTATGTGAAATTTCCTGATTTGTGAATTGGGCAACAGGTTCCAAGTTAAAAAAGAAGAGCAAACAAGAAGCTATACCCTATGGGCCCAACCATTGCTTCCCAAATAAAATGTGTTGGCTGGTCAGATGTGGCTCAGGGGCTGAGTTTGTAACCTCTGCTTTAAGGCGTTGGGTTGTTTCTTTGGCCCTGGACACAAAGGATGAAGGCTTTAATGCTTTGGGGATGTGTGAGAACACACTCGAAGAGTCAGGATCCAGGGTTTTGGCCTTGCCTCTGTCTTGGTTTTCTTTGTATCCTAGGACAAGTGATTGCTCTGGGCCTCTATTTTCTACTCTGTAAAATGGATCCATTTTAAGTTTATCTCTGTTGTTTTCTTCTACCCCTCCCATTTTCTATATCCCAATTTTTATCAATATTGCAGAGATTTAGCTCCAGATAAATTCAAAATTAATGTTGTTTGGTCCCATGTTGCCTTTGGAACTCTCTCCAAACATACGTTCCATTTGTCAGCAGACCTCTGTGGCAACTTTAGTTCACTGCTAACTGCACCAGGCCAGTGTGATGTAATTTGAAATATATATTTTTTTATTTCCAGCACTTGGTGTGGGAAATGTTTGCTTCTTTGGTCCTGCTCATTATTTTGTGACTGTGCCACATGCTGGGTTTTCTTTTTGAATTTAGGCATAAATGAAATCTCGGAAGATGTTTATACGGCCGTAGAGCACAGCGATTCGGAGGATTCCGAGAAGTCAGACAGTAGTGATAGTGAGTATATCAGTGAGGATGAGCAGAAGTCCAAGAACGAGCCCGAAGATGTAGAAGACAAAGAGGGCAGTCAGCTGGACAAAGAGCTGTCTGCTGTCAAAAAAAAGCCCAAGCTGGCCAACCCGGTGGAGATTAAAGAGGAGCTGAAAAGCACGTCACCACCCAGCGAGAAAGCAGAGCCAGGCTCAGTCAAGGAAAAGGCAAGTCCCCAGCCTGAGAAGGACTTTTCAGAGAAAGCCAAACCCTCGCCTCATCCCACAAAGGATAAACTAAAGGGGAAAGATGAGACGGATTCCCCAACAGTCCATTTGGGCCTGGACTCTGATTCAGAGAGCGAACTTGTCATAGATTTAGGAGAAGACCATTCTGGGCGGGAGGGTCGGAAAAATAAGAAGGAACCCAAAGAGCCATCTCCCAAACAGGATGGTAAGTGACTGTACCAGTTTCCAGTTTCTTGATTTGGTTTCGAATGCCACCATTCATATGTATGATCAAACGCTATGTGACCCTCTACTATCACCGGAGGAGGCAGAGCAGAACTCTGGCTCAAGGTCACCTAGCTGGTTATCTGATAGGACCAGGACTTAAACCAGGCCTGCCCACCTCTCACCTGCAGTCCTCAGCGTGGTTGGTTTTGAGCACAGAAAAGTAATTCTCTTAGAAAGTGGTAGTCAAGTCATTTTTAACCTAAGCAGCTTCTTGCCTGATACGTTTATTCATCTTCATAAAGTGGTCGTCAAAACTTAGACATTTGACAAGCCTGAAATTGTTAAAAGTGTTCAATTTGAAGATCTTGGTAAGTTTAGCTTCCCTTCCCCTCATGCTGCTCACGCATCTCAAGGTGCGTTTTCTTGCTAGAATATGACACCATTGTGGTAGGTGGTACTAGAATGGTGAGCGCTTCTTGGCACTAGAAATCCGAGGGGCATTGTGTGCTGCCCTCCTGAGTTGGTAGTCCACCGTATTTGTATTTAATCCACCTGATGCCAGGGTTTGTCAACACTGGCACTGCTGACATTTTGTGCTTGGTAATTCTCTGTCCTGTGCGTTGAGGGATGTTGAGTGGCAACCCTGGCCTCTCCCCACTGGATGCCAGTAGCACCTGCCCAGTTGTGGCAGTTAAAAAGTGTCTTGACATTGCCAGATGTCCCCTTGGAGGCAAAATCTCCCCCTTGTGGTTGAGAATTGCTGTCTGAGTCTCAGCAGTGCTTGCATTTCTGGTCTTACAGGCTGGACCAGAGTAGCTGCCCTCAAGCCTGCCGTAGCCCAGGCATGTTGGCAAAACCCCCAGACGGAACGTGTGAATGATTTGAAGGGTATCCTTCCCATTGACAAAGCAGTCAGCACATTTTTCAGTTGATTTGGTAGGGTAGTGAGGGGAATCCAACACGCCCAAGAAAGATTGCGAAGAATTGAGGGCCCAGGAGAAACATTGCCTAAGGACAAACTATAGGTTGTAGCCATAAAATCTTATCTACTTTGTGAGTAACTTAAGGGATAGGCAGATTTCAGTTTTGACTATGCCTGATAGGAGCTAATTTCTGAACCAAACCCCCGAGAAGATGTGATTCTATGACCCTTTTAGTCTGGCTGCTTGAAAGGCAAGTTAGGGATGGGCCTTGAGAATCTTTCCTCTGTGGTTATATCAACCTGAGCTGCTCTGGAACCTCCATCCTGCAGGTCATCAAAAGAGATGGAAATGTCTCTGGATGTTGCGATGGAGGGAGGGAGAGCAAACTGAGTGGGACAGGAAGGATAGGCCACCCCACACCATCCCAGAGTCATCTCTTAGATTTATGGATGGCCTCTGAAAAATTTGATCATGTCATGGAATGGAGTTTGAGGGACCTCCTCTAATGTTTCAGAGAACAATAGGAGTAGCATTTGTTCTATTTGTGGGACTATTTGGGTACAGATGTCAGTGCTTCTATGAATGATATATTTATACTGTCCCTTTTTGTCTGGAACAAATTTTTTGATTGGTTTTATATTCCTTCCTTTTCCAGAAAGGACTTGTGACAGATTGATAAGAATACACAATCATGAGACAAAATGCAAATGAAATCACAATAAACGATGGCGGGAGAGTAGTGAGAGGTTTGGGGAAAGTTTATATACAGAAATACATACTGTTTCAGCCTCCAGACTTAGCGAAGCTGGGCTTCCATTTTTGGCTGTGAGCTTCCCACCAGTCAAAGGAAAAAGAGAAACATAGTCCGATAAAAGATGTCATATTTTCCAAAAAAACCCATTCAGTTGATTAAATGAAGTAGAGCTCTTCCTTGCACTCATATCTGAGGGACGTTTTTCCAGGAGACCCCAAGCGTGTGGTAGATTAAGCTGAAGGTGATTCTAAAACATTATTCAGTTAGAGCAGATTCCTAGAGCAGATTCCTAGAGGTTGGGGCAAAACTGACTAGTCTTAAATTCAGAGCTCCCTGATGATGGTTTGGGTCTTGAAGAATTGGCTTCATGTTGGACTCTGCAGTAGAGAGAACACCTTTTCAATGATGGGCTTTTACTTATAAACTTATTACAGTGAAGGGCATTTTGGAATGTGCTGTGGTGACCTCCAACTTACCTTTAGCTAGGAATGTAGCTTATGTGTAGAATATGAATTCACAGATAGTAAAACAGCTTTTATAGCTAGTGATCTCAGAACAGAGGTAAAGGGAGCTCTCTTGGAGACCTTTGCTATGCTTACCTGTAACATCAGTAATTTCTACCCTTCTCTTAAAAGGTCCTCCTTTACGCACAACAGTGACTGAACTCTGGAATAAGTAAATTAATTTGATGGGGCAGCTTCTGGTGTACTGGCCTTTAAGAGCTTCATCCTTTGTTGGGCTATAGGTGATTGATCAGACACTCTGAATTTCTAGGACAAATGGAATTTTCCATAGCCTTTTTTCTTTTTCTCCACAAACCATCAGAATCCCCTAGAAATTAAAATATTTTAGTTCTAAATTATAACCCCTAAAAAGCACTTTGAATCTGAAATCTTTTTGGATTGCACTCCAGGTTTTTATTTGGAAAAGTGGGCCAGGGATGATTCCGTATACAGAGCCCTCTGTTTGCTTTTATAAATCAGGAGAGAGAAAATGACCTTTTCGTGGTTGCCCTTTGCGCCAGGGGGGAATTAGGCTAGCTAATCAACAATAACAGTATAGTTTTTGGTCACATGGTAGAAAAGAGGGAGGCATTTGAAGGTACTTCTGTGGTCTCTTAGAAGGGGCTGGTTTAAAGCCACCTGTGCCCCTGGAAGGGGCGGGGGCTCTATCCAATGTCTGGTAGGCCATCCTGGGAATGGATTGGGGCTCCTCACTGTAGGAAGAATTCCCTTCCAGCCCCACCTCATGCTATTGGCCTTGAACTTGGTTGAACTCTCCTCTCCAGAGGATCAGGAGGGCCTGCTAGATGTGAAAACCACCAAGAAAGCCCCCGAAGTCAGAAAAGTCAGCTTATCTTTTCTTCTCACTTTCCTTGGCGATCCAGAACTCACAGCTCACTGAAAATCTTCCCTAGAATAATCTAGCACATATCTTTCCCAGGTGATGTCAATCTAAAAAGACAGATGGAGTCCACATTAAAAGGAGTTTGATGTTCAGGCACATTGTCTAAGATCGGGGTGCTGACTTGCACCCATGTTTTGGTGTGAACCTCAGGGACTCCTTTCTGGGTGGAGGCTCCCTCACCGGTGGCTGAGACCTCTGCAGTGATGACTGACTGACACCCCTTTTACAAACGAGCCCTCACATGGTCATCCCCTTCTACAGTGCGCAGTGCTTCTGATGCTAACCTGCCTTCTGGCCACTCCTCACTGCCTACCCTCATTTTCCGAAATGCAATGCTCCCTATTCCTAAACACATCTTGGCTAATGCTGTTTTGCTCCAAATTCTCACCTCAGCCTGTTGAAATCCTACCCTTACCTCCATAGCCCTGTTCCTCCCAGAAGACATTCTCCATAACACAGCTTTTTTCAAACCTGAGGTATTCATGTTTGCTATTTTTGTCATTCCCAAGCCCTGCTTATATAATTACTGACTTAATATTTTTATTTGAAGCAACCTATTCTTTAAAAAAAAAAAATTAACCCCTTTTTAGACTTAAATTTGACCACCACACAATAAGCTAAACCAGTATTGTGTGCCATAGCCAAAATACAAGACAGGAGTAAATACATTCAAAACAAGAGTAAGACTCCCAAATTCTAGACAAATACCACTGTGTTGGGAAGGTTCTGGTCTTTGGGCGGAAGTCCCTTTAGTGTTAGGTGTCAGGCCTCCACCATGCTGAGACTTTGTCCTGGAGGGACTCAGAAGAGGTTCAGAGGATACCTTTGTTTCTGAAAGATTTAATGTTATTCAGTGCTTTGGCCGTTGGGCAGCCATCTGGGTCTTCCAGGCACCTGCTGCATCCAGCCAAGGGGTTTCTCTTCATGTCTGGATTAACTTTGGCTGGGTCTTTCTCAAAGCGCTTGCCCAGTTCTAACTTTGGAAAACGAGGCACTTGTGGTGATCTGTTTAATTCTGTGTAACCACCTCCTCATCCGCAAATCTGTGGGCAGCTCGAGGGCAGGGGCTGGGTCCAGTCCCCCGTTTCCCCCGGGGCCTTGACTGGTGTCTCACAGTGAGGTGCTCAGTAGTTAAGGTGAGAGTGTGTGAATTTGTTGGGCGTTCCTGGCCTTAGGTTGTTTCCCCCAGAACTCGCTGGCGTAGAGACCCTGCAGCAATCCTGACTCAAGTCCACTTTTTGTTTGTTTTTCCCCTGCATTGGCTCTAGTTGTAGCTAAAGCTCCACCACTGTCCACTCTGGCAGGCAGCCAGTCTCCCCCCGAAACGCCGGTCCTCACCCGCTCGTCCTCCCAAACTCCCACGGCTGGTGTCACGGCCACCACCAGCACCACGTCCACAGTCACGGCCCCGGCCGCCGCCGCCACGGGAAGCCCGGTGAAAAAGCAGAGGCCGCTTTTACCGAAGGAGACTGCCCCGGCCGTGCAGCGGGTCGTGTGGAACTCATCAAGTAAGTTTCAAACGTCCTCCCAAAAGTGGCACATGCAGAAGATGCAGCGCCAGCAGCAGCAGCAGCAGCAGCAAAACCAGCAACAGCAGCCTCAGTCTTCCCAGGGGACGAGATATCAGACCAGACAGGCTGTGAAAGGTACCGAGCTCCCCTTCTGCTCTCCGTGGCACCCGGTCCCTTTTTGCCACATTGACAGGAGAAACAACCCAAAAACCATTGTTTTATTTTTTTCAGTTCTCTTTTGTTTCCTGGCCTCTGTATCCCGAAGGCCATATGCATTCCACTTGGCATTATTTTTAAAAGTTGTTTCGCAACTCGATTTTTTACTTTAATTTTTTTTTTCATTTTGCAAACAATACATGTGTATATTCTCCTTAGAAAGGGGGCAAGATAATTTACACAAAAGTCTATTGTCCCAATTGACCTTTCATTTTATGCTTCTCCCTTTCTCAGCGGCCACTGTGAACTGTAGAACCCTTTTTATGCATGTATGCATATATATTTATACATATATATGACTCTTCATAAAAATACTTTTTTTTCCTTTTTTCCTTTTTTCAAACATAAAAATGGTACCATTTTTTTCACCCATCAGCATGTTTTGGAGGTCCGTCCATTCAGCACATACAGCTCTGCCTTATTCTTATAGACTGCTGCGTAGTATTCCATAGTTTATTTAAAGCATCCCCTACGGATGGGCATTTAGGTTGCTTTCAGTTTTACCCTGTTGTAAGCAGTGCTGCAACGCATACCTTTGCGTAAGTTTCCTGTGCACACCCGAGAACCTCTTGGTGTTATTTTGGAAAGAGCACAGTGAGAAGTTGGTAGCAAAGGCTACCTTGATGACTAGAACTAGCCACATCCACAAGAAGAGCCAGACTCAGGAACCAGTTGCTGAAGGTGCAGATTCAAAATCTCCAGCTGTGCAGGGGTCTCCACCTGGAGCTGACGAAGGGGCGAACCACTCATTGTATGGGTACCTGTTTGCCCAGCTTTTGTGAGCACTGGCATAGACCTTATTCCATGGGGAACCTGCATCTAGACCCTTGAAGATTGGGCTCCATGATTGAAACTGTCATGTAGTGAGTGCATCCTAGTGAGTAGTACTCTTTTTTTTTTTTTTAAGCTTCTCTCTTTTTTTAAAAAAAATTGATCTTAGAGAGAGGAAGGGAGAGACATTGATGTGAGAGAAATGTCAATCAGTTGCCTCCTGCACGCGACCTGATCAGGGATTGAATTTCCAACCTGGGTATGTGCCCTAACTGGGAATTGAACCTGCCACCTCTGGTATACGGAATGATGCTCCAGCCAACTGAGCCATACAGGCCAGTGCTGTTAGATCTCTTAAGAGTAGCATCAGGACAGGAGGTTGAAAGGCAGCCCAATCTTGCATTGGGCCCCCCATTGAAACCCTTCAAAGATTGGGGAGGCAAAGTTGTGGTACAGCTAGATTGATCTCACTATTTAAAGAATTGGGGGGGCAGAACCGAACCTCGGGCTCTGAGATAGGAACGACCAGTCTCAGGCTTCTATCTTCATACCCCATTAGCATTATGAGCCTCCATAGGTGAATTTAGGCAGGAAGAGGTTCCAGTGGTATGGTTCTCAATTTTCACGTTGTCTTGTGTTAAATATTAGCAAAACTGGACACTAGTTAAAGCGGTAAGGATATAATTTAATCAGTAATATACTGTTGCAATAGGGAAAGAAGTCAATTGTGAACTGAAATCAACTTTTATTTGTAAAGAGGTGACTGGGCATTTTCAACAGAAGATGAAGCAAGGGGGGTGAGTGGGGACTCAATAGAGTCAAGGAAGTGAAATTTTACAAAAAATGGGAGGTTGGGGTTGTTCCCTGTAAAACCCATCTGGGTTTGCTGACTGATACCTATCGAAGTTAGGCCCCTACCTTCCCACAGAGGTTGGGAGACAGGTGCCTTATCTTTAGGTTTTGGCTTGAACAGTCAGTTATTTGGGTGGCCTCGAGTTCTCTCAGGCAGGCACTTTAAAGGGGGCTGGGGTCATCCTAGGGATGATGCCTTGAGCTGTTAGAAGCTATGTTAGTGTTTGTTCAGGCCTTTATAGGCCACGTTTGAGGATTAGTCAAGAAAAGGCTCAGAGGAGCGTGGCTAGAGTTTGGTTAAGGAGAGAATACCTATCACTTGAAAGTAGAAAAGCTCGCAGGGTGTTTATGGGGTTTCACTCCCTCACCACAGCTGCGTGTTGGGACGGGCCCTTCCTGCAGCAGTGTGGTGACCAGGACCCTTTGTTTCCCTAGCTGTCCAGCAGAAAGAGATCACGCAGAGCCCGTCCACCTCCACCATCACCCTGGTGACTAGCACTCAGTCGTCACCCCTGGTCACCAGCTCGGGGGCCACAAGCACCCTTGCGTCTTCAGTCAACGCAGACCTTCCTATCGCCACAGCCTCAGCTGATGTCGCCGCGGACATCGCCAAGTACACTAGCAAAGTGAGTGCCAGCGGGCACCTGGTGGGATGTCAGAAGACCAGCTTTCTGATGGGAACTGTTAGGGTCATGACCTCACAGATTTTAGGGGCTGTTTGGGAGGGAAGACCCTGTTTTTACTGAGGAGCTCCAAGACTGAATTCTTCCATTTGGGTCTGAAGTTGGATCTAAGCAGAGAAATGTACAATAAACTGAATCTTACTCTGAGGGGGCTTAGATTCTAAACTCTGTACCTAACCAGGAAGGTGGATGGCATAGAATCAAAATTACCCTTCAAAATTGAGTCACTCATTAAAGACAGGTTTTCCTTAAATGCTGGAACAAACTTCTGATCTTTCAGTTAACAATAGACCGAGGGGTTTGTGTTGCATTTAGAAGCCATGTGGAACCAAAGTGACAGAGACTTAAACGTGAGACTTACAAGGTATTATGCCCCCACCTAGGTTTTTCCAGGAACCATGATGGACTGGGGAGGCATGGCCTCTGTCCCCCAACTGGCCTATCCTCTGGGTCATAGTCTTTGTTGAGTGGCTTGGTGGGCAGGAGTCCCACTGTGTATTCATTTGTGGGTGTTCTCTCAGCATGGTTCTTTCTTTTCTCCCTTGATTTGCCACATGCTTTTATGCTCTTGTTGAATCGGGCAAGTAAAACATGGAGGTCTTGGTGACATACCAGTGTGCTTTGGAGTGATGCACAGGTACATTTTAATAGACCTCTCGGTGGTGCATCAGAATGTTAGCTCCGCAGGACAGGATATAGTTTGGAACAGCCTGGCACACAGTAGGTGGTTGATGCAGAGCTGTTAAATGAATGCATGTTGTTCCCTAACTTCTTATCATGGGCGTATTACTATCAGTAACTATTAATAGTAGCTAATGAGTATTGATCTACGTATTTAGTAAATTACTAAGTAGGTAATAATAATAATTTACTCTTTAACAGTAAGTAAATGAATTAGTTACTAATGAGTAAGTGCTTAAGTTTTTAGAGAGAGTGGGTGAAAATAGTTAAGAACAGTTGTTTTTCGAATTTTTAGTCTAATTTATGGTAAAGAGTTGCTATTATATTGTGTTAAATGTAGAATCTTTTTTAGTTCTGGTGGTGTGAGACATATATACATAATTTAATTTTTTACCAGTGAGTTTTTGTTGGTCATTTGAAAAAATTGCTTCTGCTGAGGTGTATTAATTACCTGTTGCTGTGGAACAAATTATTAAAAATGTAGGAACTTAACACTGGCTTCTTAGCTCAGGTTTCTGTGAGTCAGACTCAGCTGGATCCTCTGCTTCAGGCCCTCTGGCTGAGTGCAGTCACGGTGTCTCTTAGGGTTGGGCTTTCACCCTGAAGATTTGACAGGGAAGGGATCCCCTTCCTCCGCTTCAGTTCCCAGCTGGCTGTTGCCTGGAGGCCACCCTCATTCCCTGCCATATGGTCCTTCCCAAAATGGCAGCTTGTTTCACCAAAGCCAGTGAGAGAGCCTGCTAACAAGATGGGAGCGACCGTCTTACCTAGCACCATCACAGACAGACGTGACACGCACAACCATCGCCATGTTCCGTTGGTTAGAAGCAGGTCACCAGGCGGACCATTTTAGAGTCTGTTATAATAGCTAAGATGATACCAGCAGTAGCTTATGTTCGCGTGGCTTTTACTCTGGGCCACACACTGCACTAAGTGCTTTATGTATGTTGCTCACTCAGTCTTAATGACAGATTGATGAGGTGTAGGTACTGTTACCACCCCCATTTCATAGAAAAGAAAACTGAGGCCCAGCAAGGTTATGCAACTTGTCTAGGGTCACACGGTTAGTGAATGATAGGGCTGGGATTTGAATGGTAGCAGCCAGGATCTAGACAGTGGCTTTGAGCTGGTTCGTGAATTCTCTTGCAGCCTGCTGATCACAGATGTCTGGTGTCCACAAACTGTTCTTACAGACGGCTTTTTAAAAGCAATCCTGCTTAAGATGCAGTGTGGCTCAAGAGATAATCAGAACCTAGGCTTGGGATGACTTTGTCTCTTCTTTAGTATGCCTGTCCCCCTTTTGACTAAAATGCACAGATTGTTATAGAGTCCCCAAGCTTCACAATAGGAAGATTAAAATACAAATTATTTTTGGCCTGTCTCAAGATTTTTGTCTTACCCGTTTACCCCCTGAACTATTATTGACTTAATATTTTTATTTAAATTAAATATTAAAGTTTAACCTCACCAGATACTGCTCCTCATCCATTCCTTTTGATTAAAGGAGAGATTGTCATCAAAGTGTTAAAGACACATAATGGCACCAATCTGAGACTTTCTTCCTAACCGGATCTGTAGAATTTCAGGAGAATTGAAAGGGGAGTAATTTTTTCATTATTGATTTAAGAAGATGCCTGGAATTGCTTAAATGATCTCTTTTCTGTTTGTAATTGACCCTTGTATCACCTTCCATTGATTTGGTTTAAGCTATTTGCAAATGAGAAAACTTAAATCCTGGATTTGGCAAGTGGTTCTCATCAAGTTGATATTCACAGCTCTTGCAGCTATTAAAAAAAAGTAAATGTTTTACCCGGCCAGCATGGCTCAGCAGTTGAGTGTTGACCTATGATCCAGGAGCTGGCAATTTGATTCCCAGTCAGGGCACATGCCCGGGTTGCGGGCTCCATCCCCGATAGGGGGCGTGCAGGAGGCAGCCAATCAATGACACTCTCATCATTGATGTTTCTCTCTCTCTTTCTCCCTCTCTCTGAAATCAATAAAGACATTTAAAAAAAAAAGTTTTTAATGATTTTAGAGAGTGAGAAAGAGGGAGAGGGAGAGAGGGAAACACTGATGAGACCATCAGCTGCCTCCTGCCTGCCCTCTACTGGAGATGGAGCCCACAACCTGGGCATGTGCCCTGACCAGTAATCGAACCGGCAATCTTTTGGAGCACGGGATGACACTCTGCCAACTGTGCCACACCAGCCAGGGCCCCCACAGCCATTTTTATTGTTACCTTCTGCCTCTTCCTCTATTCTAATAGCAAAATTGAGGAATGAACTTTTTGATAGCCATTTTTTTTGCTGTTAAGCAAATGAACACAGTGACATATTTTTGGAGCCGATGAACTTTCCTGTCTCCAAGGTGACCCCGAGTTGAAGACCCAGATTTGTGTGTTTTGGCAGAAGAGTGCTCTTGATTAACATTGAGTTCTTGGCTATATTTGGAAGTAAGAGTGAAAGTCAGTCCACAAATTCATGATTTCTTTAGAATGGAATGTAACTGTGGCGTTAGGAACGGATTGAATTTCATCTATTTTCTAAAGTTTTCACGTAAAGCTGTTTCAATTTCATATTTTAAGTCGACGTGGACGGTGCATTGGGGTAAGGAGGCCTTGCAGAATGACTGACCCCAAAGCTGCAGATACTAGTGTTTTTGCTGGCAGTGTCCCAGTATGGCCTGTAACAAGTGGGGAGCCCCCCATTTTGGGGTGAGGTTGGGGTTACTGTTTTGGGGTTTGGCAGAAGTTTCACAGTTACATGCTCATGTGAGTTTATTTTCTGTAAAAACCAGATGAGCATCTATTTCTTTACGAACACCTACTCTGTGTGGCAGGGACTGATGCATAGTCTGCATGTGGTTTTCTCATTTAATCCTCGTGCACACTCTACAAGGGGGCACTGTTGTTATCCTTGTATTCTACATGGGGAAACTGAGGCCCAGAGAGTGTGGGTGGTAAGAGGTAGTAGTGAGGACAGATCTCGGGCATCAGATATGAGGGGGCTCTTTGTCCTGCCGAGTCTCCCCTGCAAAACAGAGAGAAGACTCGGCAGCAGCCAGGCCAGGCCCCTAGGCCTAGTTTGTTCTTCTGTCCTCTCTTTCTCCTGGGATGCTGGAGGCGTCAGCCAGCAAGTAGGAGGTAGGAGAGAAATTCATCCTGCAAACACTCTTCGTCATCAGCTATTTGAGTACCTGCTGTGTGGACCTGAGCTGATGTCACAAACTCTGACCCATGATGCCTTCATGGGTCAGATAGTTAAACAAACTGGAAAGGCAATGCGCTAATCAAAGGCATTAAAATAACAAACCAGCTATATCCACATAGTGGACTATATTATTGGTCCATAAAAAGTAGTGAAGTACTGATACACCCTCGAGAACAGATAAACCTTGAGAATAGTGTGCTCAGCCCAAGAAGCCAGTCCCAGAGGACCACATATTGAATGATTCCATGGATATGAACTCTCTGGATTAAGCTGATTCGTACAGATAGAAAGCAGATTAGTGGTTGTCGGTGATGGGGATCTTGGGGGGTTGTGAAGGCTAAGAGGGGAGTGTATTTTCTTAGGGTACGAAAAGGTTCGGAAATTGATTGTGGTGATGGGTGTAGGACTCTGAATATGCTAAGAGCCATTGAATTGTACACCATAAATGGGTGAATTGTAGGAGATAACATTAATACCTCAATCAAACGGTTGTGTGTGTGGTTTTTTTTTTTTAGAGGAAAGAATTATAAAACTACTGCAACAAAACAAAATAATCCCTCTCTTGAACCCAATGTGCTAAACCACTCCAAACGGCTGGAGGCCATGTTCGGCCTCTCCAGCTTAGCCTGTGGCTATAGAAACTAGCTTTATGGTTGTGAACTTGTCCCAGAATATGAGACAGTGAACTGTGGGTGATCCTTCCCTGGTTTATATCAGGGTTTCTCACCCTCAGCACTAGTGACATTTTGGACTGGGTAATTCTATTGTAGGGGCTGTTCTGTGCATATAGATGTTTAGGACATCTCTGGATTCTACCTACTAAATGCCAGCGGCACCCTCTTCCCCCCTTCCTCCCTGGTCATAAGCCCCCAGGTGAGACCCTCTGCTTTATACAGGTAGAGTTTAGAGGTGTGTCATCCAGAAAAGCCTCGGGGAAGTGATCACCTGAATTGTTTCTCTTTTTATCTTTCAGATGATGGATGCAATAAAAGGAACGATGACAGAAATATATAACGACCTTTCTAAAAACACTACTGGAAGCACAATAGCTGAGGTTAGAGATGACATGTGAACTTGCTTTTTGCTATGAGTGTTTTGTGGGCTGCTCTAGGATGGTGCCATGAAAATGCTTCTCTGGAAATCCCTCCAGGGTCCTGGCCCCAGTCATCAGACTTGCTCAGCTGATTGGGGTTGTTGAGGAGGGTATTTCTTCATTGAGCCAGAAGGCTGATGCTGTGGGGACACGCCGCTGTGTGTGATCAGTTCATTTCTCATAAAACAACCCAAACCAGAGCCTGAGTTAATCCACTGGTGAAACTAGAAACCAGATCTTTGTGCTCCATGTAAAATTGGCTCCTTGGTCTTTGTAAGATGGGACATTTTTATACAAGAGATACTTGTTTTCTAAGAATTTGTGTACTGAGCCTCCATAATTTATGTATGACGGCCTAGGGAATTGAGTGGTGAAATGCTAAAAGGTCCACTTATGAAGTGATCACTTATTATAGGCCTCCCTGAACTTCTCTCTTAGGCTTATTCACAGCGAGCCAGATGCAAAAAGGATACCAGGCAACCATCAAAATGTTCTCTGTAATCGATGAGTCTGTTTCTGTTCTGCTTGTTCATTTATTTTGTGTTTTAGATTCATTTGATAGATATATATTTATTGCCATTTTATTGTTCATACTTTTAATCTTTTTTTCCCCTTCTTTTTCTTCTGAAAGAAGACCCTTTAACATTTCATGTAATACTGGTTTGGCGGATGAACTCCTTTACCTTTTTTTGGTCTGGGAAACTCTTTATCTGTCCTTCGATTCTAAATGATAGCTTTGCTGGGTAGAGTGATCTTGGATGTAGTTCCATGTTTTTCATCACTTTGAATATTTTTTGCCACTCCCTTCTGGCCTCAAAGTTTCTGTTGAGAAACCCCCTGACAGCTGAATGGGTGCTCCCTTGTAGTTAACTAACTGCTTTTTTCTTGCTGCTTTTAAGATTCTCTTTGTCTTTAACCTTTTGCCTTTTATTATGATGTATGTTGGTGTGGGCCTCTTTCGGTTTATCTTGTTTAGGACCCTCTGCACTTCTTGGACTTGTATGTCTGTTTCCTTCACCATCATTATTTTTTTACATAGGTTTTTGATTTCTTGCTCTTTCTTCTCCTACCAGCATCCCCATGATGCAAATGTTGGTATGCTTGAAGTTGTCTCAAAGGCTCCTTACACTATCTTCATATTTCTGGATTCTTTTTTGCTTTTGCTCTTCTGGTTGCATGTTTTTTGCTTCCTCATGTTCCAAATCACTGATGGTGATTCTCAGTGTCCTCTATTGTGCTGTTGCTTCCCTGTAAATTATTTTTCATTTCAGTTTGTGTACCCTTCATTTCTGACTGGTGCTTTTTTATGCTATTCAGGCTCTCAGTAAGTTCTTTGAGCATCCTTATAACCAGTATTTTAAACTCTGCACCTAGTAGGTTGCTTCTATCCATTTTGTTTACTTCTTTTTCTGGAGTTTACCTATGCTGCCATCTTGACTGGAAGCCTCTTGTTTGTTCATTTTAAGAATAGACATGTAGTTGAAAGTATGGGTCCATAAAGTTTCACTTGAAATCTTGGGCCCTTGAAGATGTACCCCAGAATTTTTCAGATTTTGAGAGGTTATTATGCAGTCCCCGGTAGATGCCAGGAGTGCCCTCCCTCCCCCCCAAGATTGTGACAACCCAAAATGTCTCCAAACATGGCATCATGGGTTGGGGGGGGGCAAAAATCTCCCCCATTGAGAACACTGTGATTATTAAACACTGTAAAAAAACCTCATTATCACTTCATATTGAATTTATTTTTTTTCCTGCTCTCAATGATTTTGGCCCCAAACTTATCCCTCTTTCCCCAAATCCCCCTTGGTTTTGAGGGATTAAGCTTTGGAGTTTTGAGTGAATGACTCCACTTAAAATGTTAGGTAAGAAGTAAAATAAAGCTATCTTTATTTAGTTTCATTTTTGTAGACCGAAGTCCTAATCAAACCTTTTACGTTTTATTTATTGGAAAATCTGGTCCATATTTTCGTTTTAAGTGGCTTCCCCTGGTGTCATTATTTCTTGGCAAAGGTGGGTTACTCGTATTTAGTTCTCTGAAACAATTTCTTACGAATTTGGATTAACGCACTGGCCTATCTCTCTGGACTGTAGCTGTGTGGATATCAGCCCAGATCCAGGCCGCCTGCTCCTTCTTTCACCATGTGATGTTAACCCTGACAGCCAGTGAGAGGTCGAACTCCTGGGCTCTGTAGGTGAGCAGCACCCAGACCTGCTGCTTAAGTCTCACTCTTTCGTTACAGATTCGCAGGCTGAGGATTGAGATAGAGAAGCTTCAGTGGCTGCACCAGCAGGAGCTCTCCGAGATGAAACACAACTTGGGTAAGGCCTGGTGAAGTGGGCAAGGTCTGGTGGGAACTTCTCTGCATCCCTGGAGTCAGGCCCAGATGTGAATTGAGTCAAATGTGCACTAGGGGTGGGTATACTGCTCCTTGGGAGACTACATACTCCTGGAGAGGCCAACCTGGAGAAACCAGATATAAAAGCAGGTATTAAAGCACCTCCTTTCTGCAAAATACCAACATCAGCAACAAAATGATGTTGCTGATAGCTCCTACTTATTAAACTTATTAAACTCTTAACTTTGTGCCAGGAACCATTTGAAATACTTTTTCATGAGTTAAACAGTTTAATTCTTACAGAAACCCTTATAATAAAGGGGTCTCCTGTCCCAGTTTTCAGGTGAAACTTAGGCACAGACATGTTAAAGCAGTTGTTCAAAATCATAACGCCATGACTTTCCCCCTTAACCATTGAATATTAAGTATTTTAACTAAGTTGAATATTGCCTGTGCAGCCCATGCTGGAGACAAAGCTCTTCTGTTGGTCCCTGGATTAGACTGACTGCTGTTCCACCTACCATTCTGTGTAAATAATTGTTAATGGTTTTTTTCTAGTGTAGTTAGTGGTAGTGGAGCAATCTATCAGACAGGGCATTGTGGTTCACCATTATCTGAGCAGGACAACCTGGCATAGGTTGAACAAGTTTCTTTCAGACCCTCATGGTAATATTAGTCTTGAGTCAGAATACTAGAAACAAACTATAGGCTCTCTTTTTTGGGGAGACGTGCCCAGCTGTGTCCACCTGCTCACGGGATATATATGAAATCACACCTTGCAAACTTAAATCCTTATGAAGCCAGCCAGAGGAGGAGCCTTCCATTCTTTAGCTTGTTACCATCAGGAAGTTTATTTGCATGCTGTTGCTTCTTGTTTTTCTATTCAAGTGAAACAATCTCTTTTTATGCAGTGTCTCTCCATCATTAAATAGTGACTGTACATTTGGAAAAAAATACATGTGGGCCGGCCAGGGCTAGCCATGATTTGCAGGCCCCCAGTTACAGGGCTATTGTGAGTGATGGAAAGGTGTCTGGCCAGAAGTGTTGTCTTTACAAGGGGTTAATTTTCCTTACTTGTCTGTTTTGGAAGGTTCCTTTTTTTCTTTCAGAAAGAGGATTCTGAGGAATTGAGGAACCATTTATTTTAGTGTACAGGTCTCTCCCAGGTGAACTGCAAGTGGACTTACTGTCTGAAGTAAAGTTAGAGAAATCTCAGTAGACTGAGCAGTTCGATCATTGACCTGTTGGCATAATGGTCAACCACAGTGCCCTTTCTGGTAGATTTCTCCATTGACATTAACCACACTAGAAAGAAAGCATGTCTGAGTTCTAGTCCCAGCTCTGCCCTTATTAGCTGTGTGCCTCAGTTTTCTCATCTGTGAAAAGGGTATTATAGCAGTACTTACCTCATAGGATTGGTATATGGATTCAATGAGTTAATATTTCCAAAGTGCTTAGAATAATGTCTGCATTTAGTAGGTGCTGTATAAGTATTTGACAGAAGAAAAGGTTGGTACTAATGACAGAGTACAAAGTGAGGTTAGTGGCACTTGTTTTGAGGGTTTATTTGAAGGTTTTCCACAGAATCACTGTGGGGCTGTTTTGATCGCTGTATTATTGAGATGTCCTGTTATTGTCATATATGATGAGGCAACTCTGTCATGTCAGTGTGACGAGCGCCCACTTTACAGATGGAGACATTGGGGCTCAGGGTGGGGAGTGTCACACAGCTGGGCCATCTCCGAGCTGGGATTCACATCTCATCTGGTCTGAACAACCCCATGCCTTGTCCTGGGAATGCGTGATGATGCCAGTGTCCTCTCTCCTCTGCCAGAGCTGACCATGGCAGAGATGCGGCAGAGCCTGGAGCAGGAGCGGGACCGGCTCATTGCCGAGGTGAAGAAGCAGCTGGAGCTGGAAAAGCAGCAGGCGGTAGATGAGACCAAGAAGAAGCAATGGTGTGCCAACTGCAAGAAAGAGGCCATTTTCTACTGCTGCTGGAACACCAGCTATTGCGACTACCCCTGCCAGCAGGCCCACTGGCCCGAGCACATGAAGTCCTGTACCCAGTCAGGTACCGTCACACAGGGCGTCTCAGGCCCAGGCTGCAGCCGGTGGGTGTTTGGCTGCCCTGGGGACCACAGGGCCACAGAGGAGGCTGACTCAGCAGGGGGGCTTGCTGAGCCCCTCGTCACTCATACACACTGTGTCTCTTAGGCCCCCCCCTCCCCGAGTGCACACATAGCAGAGGCTCAAGGTACAGGTGTTTGGAACCTCTGGATTCTTTGCACTTGCCAAAGTGTAGGCGTGTAATGTCAGCCCAGATGATTGTAGTTTCATGTGAGATATAGTGGTTCTCAACGGTGGGGCAATTTTTATGTCCCAGCCCCCAAGATATTGGCAGTGACTGGCAGGCATTTGTGGTGGCTTTAATGGAGGGGCTGCTACCTGCATCTGGAAGGTAGAGGTCAGGGATGCTGGCAGTGGGTGTTGCCCACAACAGAGGATGATCTGGCCCAATATGTGAATGAGACTGAAGTGGAGAAAGCCTGTTTTTTAGGGAATCCTGGACTCAGGGCTTTAAATAATGATTCCCTGTTCCAGTGGGAAGGAAAAAGTCTTGATGTGGAACTAATCTAGTCCTGTAATCTCTAACACAGAGCAAGCAGGTCTCAGAACAGGAGACGCCAGTAGGAGACACTGTCCCTTAAAATTAATACTATTTTAAAATATTTTTACAGCTAACTTTTACTTATGNTGCCAGTAGGAGACACTGTCCCTTATAGTTAATACTATTTTAAAATATTTTTACAGCTAACTTTTACTTATGGCAAATAATAGCTTTATGTGCTTAGTTTAGAAGTCTCCATTTTAAAGAATGTATGTAAATAAAAATCATAAATAACATGACAAGGTAGTGTGTCTGTAGATTAGCAAAATTTTCAAAGGTGATATATAAAGACCAGGTTTAAGAAGCACCTCCAATAATCTTCTGTTAAAAAGATTTTGTTATTTTTTAAAAGGCAAGTTTAAACCATACATTGCTGTGTCCTTCTTATAGCGACTTTGGATTGCCTAAGTTCTGAATGTGTCTGACGACCCTTTTGCATTGTTTCGAGGTGGCCAGAATGCCCTTTGGCTTTCCGTTCTCTGTGGCATCATAATGTCCACCGTTCCAAAATTCCTCTCAAATGCCCTAGTTTTCCAGTTGTCCAAGTGCTTTCCATTGCCTGAGGCTCTGTGCCTCTGACCATCAGGTTGCTTTCCACATGGATTTCCTGCCACCTCAGAAGGAAGCAATTCCGTGGGGCTAAAATAGGTCTCAAACTAGGCTTTATGAAGTTTTTTAATTCATTCTAGATGAGCAGTAGCTGGGTCCTAATTTTGGCCTTCATTTGTCCCATGAACATGCTTTCGTCTCTAGAATCATTTAGTAAAACACAAATTACTATAAAAATTAATAGATTCTCACGAACAAGGTCTGGATTCCAGCTTCTAGAAAACTGGAGATCTGGCCTCTTTGGGTGTTTGGGTCATTGTTGAGCCGTAGCACTGCCGTGTGCATAGCTGTGATCCCTGCAGGTCCGGAAGCCACTGCACTCGGCTTACACGTGGCTCCTCTCCCCTCCACCCCCAGCCACCGCCCCTCAGCAGGAAGCAGATACCGAGGTGAACACAGAAACACTAAACAAGTCATCCCAGGGGACCTCCTCCAGCACACAGGCAACCCCTTCGGAAACAGCCAGCGCCTCGAAGGAGAAGGAGACGTCTGCTGAGAAAAGCAAGGACAGTGGCTCGGTGAGTGTACGCATGCCGTTGGCCAGTGACACCAGTCCTTCCGGCCAGGCAGAGCCTCAGGACCTGTCCCCATGCCTGCCACCCCTGAAACTCACCCGCTGGAGTAGATTTGTCTGTCTTCACGGTGGGGCAGCCAGGCTGCAGGTGGGGATGAGTCTTAGCAGGTGGCCTTTTCACTGATGGGCACGCGGGCCGGGGCAGAGGAATATGGAGTCCAAGTTGACATTCGTGTGACCTGACAGCTGCTCCCCGGCGACTCGAGATTTAGAACAGCGTTGTCTACTAGAGCCTTCTGTGATGATGGGCGTGTTCCGTGTCTGCTCTGCCCAGTCTGTAGCCGCGAGCCACATGGGACGTTTGTGCGCTCGAACTGTGGCTGGTGTGATCAATTAATTTTAATATCCATAGTCACATGTGCCCCGTGGCCGCAGTCCTGGACAGTGAAGACTGCATCTCTTCCTTTCCCAGTGTGGAATACATCATACAGATTGTCTGTCAACATGATTTTAGGTCGCATGTGGATAATTTTTTACATTTTTAGTCACGAATTTTATTTCAGTGTATATTAGGGAAAAAACAAGTCATTATCCCATCAGTCAGGACCCTTTGATTTTACTGATACCATTGCCTCGTTAGAGGTTAATGTGAAATAAAAGTGAATTAAAACAATTTTGAAGTAATGTACTTCCTTTTTTGAGATGGCAAAACTTTGGAGGATTGGTAGGTCAGTGAGTGAAGCTGAGGAAACAGTGAATGTTCTGGAAGCTGAGGCTATGGGGTTGAGTCTGGGGCCACCCCAGTGCTGCGTTCCAGCCTGTTCAGTCTGGGTTCAGCACATAGGTAGAGGGCCACCCCCGCTGACCTGGCCTCCCCTGCCTGCGCTCGCCAGGCAGAGGGCACAAAGGTGGCTTGGGGGCAGAAATGAGCACCCCCAAGGATCCCTGGGCTTCCCTGGGGGCGACATTGGCCCCAGTGCCTTGAGTCCATCTCTCTCTCTTTGTATTTCTAGACCCTCGACCTTTCTGGCTCCAGGGAGACGCCCTCCTCCATTCTCTTAGGCTCCAACCAAGGCTCTGGTACGTTGCCCCCTGGGGGGTGAATGGTGCTCTCATTCCACATGGGCAGAGGGGAAGCCATTTTCTTAGAGAGAATTTTAAGGGTTAATGGCAGTGGTTTTCAAACTACCGTGGATCCTTAGGGATCCTTGGGGGTGCCCTGGGCGGGTCAGTGGGGGTAAGGGAGTGGCTGGGCAGGGCAGCTTTCAGACACCTCTCTAATCTGATCAGTATTTACCTGTACAGTACGTCCTCACTTAATGTTGTTGATAGGTTTTGCAACTTGAAGCGAAATGAATATAACGAAACCAGTTTTACGATAGGCTAATTGATATGAACCAGAGTTAAGTTCTTACAGCATCTCTTCAGCGTTACAATGAAATGACGTTGAACGAAACAACGTTATTTGAGGACCTGTTGTATTTATTTACTGGGGACCCACATAAGTCTTCATCTGGACAAGAGGGTTCTGTTGATGACCTGGGGTGGGGTAGGAGACGTGCTTTTGGGTCGGGCAGTTCTTCTGCCTTCAGGGAAGTGACCACAGTAACTGAAACTGAGTGAAATTTTATTCCCAGCACCTGCATTTGGTGGGTGAGGGCACTTGAGCCTTTAGGGAAATAAAGAAAAAATTTAGGTGGATGATCTTTCTGTAAAAACCTTTCCTCTTAGGGAGTAAATAACCTGGTAGGCTGTATTGGGAGATTTTCTGAGACTAAATTTTGGGTTTTCTCTTCTGTGAGATTTGAGCAGTCCTTTCTAGCCCAAAGGGTCTTTTTCCTATACCCTTCTAAACCTGTTTTGGGCCATTCCAGAAGGGTTCGAAGAAGGGGTCTTCATTGAGGACAATTCTGCTTAATCCAAGGTTTTTCAGCACTAAGATCTTTCTCTCTCCTGGATAATACAAAAAGTTCTTTTTCACTTTTGCATATTAAGTGAATAGAGGGGGCAGTTATGTTCATTGTTAGTGTGGCATGAACTGATTTTAGGGAGAGTATGAACTTGGCATTGAATACAGTTGACACCTATTGAAAAACTAACTCCCTTCCCACTTCCTCTTCAATTCCTGATTAAGTCTCTGAGAACAGGTTCAGTTTGGTGCTAAGATCTCTTTTGTATTTGTTATGTTTTCCAGTTTATCTTTCTAACAAAGAGAGCAGACTTTAGACCTGAGCAGCATAGTACCCACTTAAAAAATTAATACTACTATTTGCTTTTCATTCTGTTTATTTGTAGCGTTGCCTTCTGTGCATTGGCAAATATGAATGATTTTCTGCTTTGGGTGGTGATATAAAAGCTTGTTTTATTTAAGTTTAAAAATGAGTTTGAGCTAAAAACAACAACTAAGTAATATGTAGGAAGATTGTGGATGTGTCAAAATTGTCCTGGGATATGAGGAAGGCCCAAGTTGGAGAAATGCTGTTTTCGGCAGGGGCGCTGTTGAGGTTGTGGAGCAGCAAAGTGGTGGGATCCACATGGCTTTGGGAATGACTGATGCCGTGGTGTATGGAATCTGCTGGAATAAGTGGGGTTGTAGACAGGAACGTTGGGAGCTACATAGTCTTCCAGTTTGGAGGTGAATGAGGTATCGCCCAGCCCAGGGGTTGGCAAACTCAATGAAGGGCCACCTAGTAAATACTTTAAGCTTTGAGGGCCACATGGGCTGTGTCACAACTGCTCAACTCTGCCACGGTAGGATGAAAGCACACATAGATAATATGTCAGTAAATGAGTATGGCCATGCTCCAGTGAAACTGTACTTGGAAAAACAGGCATTGGGCTGGATTTGGGCCACAGTTGGCTGACTCTAACCTAAAGGGGCTGGGAAAGAAGCTTCTGCTTTTTAAAAAATATGTCTTTATTGATTTCAGAGAGAGGAAGGGGGAGGGAGAGAGAGATAGAAACATCAATAATGAGAGAATCGTTGATTTGCTGCCTCCTACACAGCCCCTACTGGGGATTGGGCCTGCAGCCCGGGCATGTGCCCTGAATGGGAATTGAACTGTGACCTCCTGGTTCATAGGTCGACGCTCAACCCCTGAGCCATGCCAGCTGGGCAAGAAGGTTCTGTTTTATATGAACTAACTAAGAAGCTCTGGTAGATGCTGGTGATTTGGCGCCATGTGGGTTGGGGGGAGAACGTAATCCCCAGGAGTCTGGACTGGATGGGGTAGCAGGAGAGGGGAGAAGGTAAAGAAGGGGAGGGAAAGACCCCCAGTTCTACTTTAGATTCCTAGAGGGTGCATGGTACCAGACTTTTTGCAGAGGGTTGAAGTACACAGTTGATGGAGTGTCTCTTGTGCCAGGCACTGTGCTAGGGCTGGGAGTTAGTGGTGAGCAAGGTAGACAGTTTCCCTTCAAATTCCTCGTACGTCAACTTAACTTCTGCTAACCTTGCTATTGTTGACCATGCAGAGGAAATCTCGTGGAGGAAGGCGGGCTCTATAAAACATCTGGTACTAGGATGGTAAGAGGAGGAGTCTGGTTGGAAGGGAGAAAGGTTTAGTAGGAGGTATGAGCTTCCTCGGGGTGGACACAGGCTGGCCTGTTGTCTCTTAATTTAAAGATTTGAATAAAGCATTACGTGTATATAGTTTGAGGAAATAGAATGCCTAGTCCCAGTCTCACTGCTGTGTGTGATAACGTCTGGAACTTGCCTTCTTATTTGTAAATAATGTTCTTCCCTGTACTTCTGTTTTTCTGGACTTTTTATCTATAGAAATTGCTCAGTGATTGCCAGCTTTAAAAGATGAGAGTTAGGGTCATAGATGACCTCTCCTACTTCGTCCCAAGCCACTTGTCACTATTTGATGTGCTCTGTGAGTTCCCCAGGTCAGATACATCTCCTGCCTTCAGTTCTTACTCTGTCAGCTAGAGGCAGTACTTCTTGGTCCCCCAGGTGGTCCATCTCCTCCCCCACTTCTCCTACCCCTGTCCCATCCAGACCTCCCATCTCCTCCGCTCTGACTTGCCTTCATCCAGGTTGGGAATGTGATTTTTTTCTGTAACTCGAATCTTGAGACGTTGAAGTGCGCGAACCCGTGTTTCCGTCGCTGGGGCCCGTTTGGGGGTCAGTGCGCTGGGATTCCGTTGCCGTTCCCTTACAGCCTTGCTTTTTCCTGGAGTTCTATTCCCCGCCTTGATTGTATCTTCGGTCATTTCCTAACAAACTCTTCATCATTTCCAGTTATTTTCTGGAGACCCCTTTCATATCACTGCTTTCTGACTCTTCACTTTCACATGTTTGTTGGTGTCCTGCCATCCTGGCTGAGAACGTGGCTCGCTTGATAGCTTGTCTGTAGTCCCTACTCAACCTGCGTCCCCGTGTGCACCTTCTCCGCCCTCCCTCCCTGTTCTGCGTCCACCCCTGGCCGTGGGGAGTTACTACCCGCCCTGAGTAATCTGAATGCCCTGGGTGCCGCCTCCCACCCTGCTGTGGTTCCGGCGCCTCTTTCCCTGGCTGAGTTAGGCTGTTGGCAGAGTTCATGGTTCTGAGGATTTTGCTTTCAAATTTTTGAGAATCTGTGGTTTAGAGAGTTGCTTCTATGTTCATGTATACCTTATTTCCATCTGTAATGCCGTGCCATGTCCAGCGATCCTGCTCAGGGTTTAATATGCATTTTAAAAAAGCCTTAGTCTCCTGTGAACGCACTGATTGGAAAACGGTGACAAATGAAGCAGTTCTAAGAGCAGGAGCCTGTTCATGAACAGAAACAGTGAGCACCTGGGGGCATGTGGATTTGAGCTGATAGACTCTGAGGATGCCTGTGCTATCTCTTCAGTTAGCAACAGCCTGCCTATGTCCCAACCGCCACAGACCACCAGCCGCACCCCACCTACCCAGCCCAGAAGTGTAAGTATGACCCTGCCTCACGGGAGCTGCCGGGAGCTACTCCGGCCCGCCGAAGGCCCGCTGTGTGTGCCGCTTCGCTTCTCTCTCTCCTGTTCTTTCCAGTGGTGGGTCTTACCTTGGCTTGTGTTTCTTTGTAGCTGGGCCTCTGGTCTCCATTGAAACTGCCAGAGCGTGTGGTTTGGCTTCTCAAGGGGACATCCTTGCTCTTTTCATAAAGGTCCTAGATTAACACTGACCCTCCCCCGTAGTGATTGGCCATCCCAGCCAGCCCGTGTCCTGTCCACATGAAGGGGTAGGCCCTGCAGAGGCTGTACTAGGCTCGGCCCTGCTCCCATTTCCTCTCTGCTTTCACCAGAGCCGGAGGGACTTGATGTGGCTTGACTGCATTGTTGCAGGATTTTCTCATGTATGGTGATGACCGGCTACAGCACTCCCCAAAGTCCTTCCAGAAGAACTAATGGTGTAGGCACTGCAAGTTGGGCAGAATGCTACGAAGAGGTAGATTCAGGATCATTAAGCTAGAACCGGCCCTTGAGAAGTACAGATTGGTCCTTACAAAATAGTCCTGGAGACGTAAAGTACAGCATAGAAAATGTTAGCAATATTGTAATAACTATGTATGGTGCCAGATGGGTACTGGAAGTGTCGGGGATCGCTTTGTAAAGTATGTGATTGTCTAATGACTATGCTGTACACCTGAAACTAATGAAAAAAACTAAAAAAATTTTTTTAAAAAGAAATAGAGGGCCCTTGACCATACTGCCCCCTGCTGGTCACTGATGCACATGACTAAGAAGAGGTCCTCCTGCGTGACTGCATCACTTTGGAGATCCTTCTCATTCTCCTCACTGTCATCTTCCAGAAACAGCTCATGACTAGCCAGGTGATAAGGAACGTTACCCCCCAGACGATGATATGGCCCCTTCCTCACTCATTTCGATTTCTGTCTCTAAACTTGACAGTGGACTTCTTTCAGTCAACTATCATCAACCCACCTCAAGAAATTTTATAAAGTTTTGTCCCAATCTGTCTGAGCTTGGTAAATGACCTCAGATATGACAGGACCTTAGTGGTTTGCTGCCAGGTCTCTCGTAGTCGACTGTCCAGGGAGCCCGCACGCCTGGACTGTTTGACAGCGTTACAGGTACCTCGTCTGGCTCTACAACTTCCTCATTTCTGACTCAGCCACTACTTGGCTCCTTGTGGTCTTTGAAACTGTCTTAGGTCTTACTCTGGTTCTGCACTCTTCGGTGACCCTCAAACTTGTCCTTACTGGGGGCCAGTGGGTCTGTGTTCCCAGCTGACCTTGGCCGTCCTGGTCCACATTCCTTCTTTATAATCTGTTCTTTTGGGTGGTTTGGTACAAGTCTGTTTTTGAGTTGCCTATAAATTGATTAAAGAAACAATGTTAATAAAAGTAGATCACATGTCACATTTTGGTGCCTTTTCCTGTGCCCAAGGTTGGCTACAAGTGCATGGGGTGCTTGGTGTCACATCATAAGGATGCACAGTTATGGGTGCCACACCAGAAATGCCTTCCTTGGCAATTTTCTCTCAAATCTTTATTCTCTGTGAGCATGACACCCTACTGTTTTTCCAACCAGCTGTTGTTAAATCCTAAAAAAATAAGTTGTCCTGCCTTTGTACTCTACAGACCCACAGATTTCAGGAAGTCAGCAGTGGCAGCATTGAACCATGGACTGGAGTTGTGTGGGTGGGAGGGGAAGGCGGCTTCCCAGAGAGGAGGTGCAGGTCAGGCTGCGGGACAGTTGTGCTTTGGTGGAGCTGGGCAGGAGCGCTGACCGCCCCTCTCTGTTGCTTTTCCTCCCCAGACCATTCCCGGAGCAGTAAGTCCGGTAGCTGGAGCAGCAGCGATGAGAAGCGAGGGTCGTCGCGTTCTGAGCACAACACCAGTACCAGTTCGAAGAGTCTCCTCCCGAAAGAGTCTCGGCTGGACACCTTCTGGGACTAGGGACAAGTTGCGACACAAGCCATCTGTCCCACGGAGGAAAAAGAAAACAGAACCTAGGAAACCAGGAAACGGCAAAGAAACGTGAGGCAGAACCCCCACCTTCAGACTTGAGAATTCCAAACCTTGAGACTTGGCCTTTTCACAGAGGGTCCCTACACTACATAGCGTCCACTCAGCTTTGAGGACCGATCCACCCACATGAACTTACGCTTTAGATGTAAATAATGTACAATTTGTGGATGTCACCGAACCTAGAGTACCTTCCCCTTTTTATATTTGTATTGACTTTAACTTATAAAAAAAAATAAAAAGAAAAGCAATTAAAAAAAACACAATCCAACAACAGAAGGATGTTTTGGTGTTGGAGGAAGGGATGGTCCGTCAGCCCATCTGTCACTTGGGGACTGGGCCCGGGGCTGTCTGTTGCACCCAGGTCCTCCTCCTGGGGTGCCCAGAGCAACGTAAGCTGTTTTCATTTGTATGTCTGGACGCAGCACACCAGGATCGTGAGTTTCGGCACAGATTCTGTGCTGTCGTGGGCACATCCCATCAAGCCATCGGCCCCTTTCCAATACTACGTTACGATGTTATCAAATGGAAGCTCTCTGGACCAGAAGGACACGTGCAGAAGCTCGTTTCTTTTATGTGACTTAAATAATGACTCTACTCCTAAAAGGGAAAACCTAATGTCCTTGTTTACAGAAGAGAAACAGAAATAAGCCCCACTCAGCTCAATTGCAGAAGAGAAGAGCATCGAAGGTTTCAAGTCATTGAAACAAAGAGATCTTTTCTTTGCGTTGTAGTTCCTTTCAACACACTCACACAAGCTTGGAAAGAGATACTGTGCTTTTCGGAAGAAGGACTCCTGGGCAAGACGCACGCAGAGGACATTTGAGTCTGGGATGAAGCATGTCTGTAGTATTTATATGATGGAATTCTACGTTTTTATGTAAGCATGAAACCAAGGCAGTGAGAGAAAGCGCCCCGCCATGCTGTCTGTTACACTACGTATGCTGTAGTTCCATGTTGTATGTTGTGTAAAACAAAAAGCATTGAACAAGCAGAGGGTGATGTATGTATATGAGAAAATTAATTGTACGATATCATTCCAGTACATCCTGTTGTACATTTTAGTCTCGTTTACTGTTTCTTCATTGTTGATAAGAGGATGCGAACTGTACAGTTTCCAGCTAGTTACTCGTATTAGAGAGGAAATAAAAAGAGAGTATTAGAAGAAAACAGGAGAGAAAGAACATTTGTGAATTGCAGTTGTCAAAAAAATAGCCTAGCTGGCCTTATTTGTGAAGCATAATTGCTTTTAGCATATGGAAGTATTTTTTCACATTTTCTTTGTATAAAATTTGTATTAAACTTAAATATCTTTTTTGACAATGGTGTTTCTTTGTGACTAAGCCAGTGGACTCACACGGTATGCTCTTTTGGGTTCCTCCCCTTCCCGTCCAATTTTTTCAGATTCTTCACCTTTTTTTAATTAAACTGTTTTGGAAAATACAGCTTGGTCGTCCTCGAATTTGCAGTTTTCCATTTGGTCCAGATGGCCGTGCCAGGTTCACATGACTGAACACAGGAGGCCAGGCCGTGAGAGGGCAAGAACGTCTCCACAGGTGGGGGCACATTATGAATAAGGGCCCCCAGTCCAGTTCCTTGAGTTTTTTTGACAGAGATGTGAAACAGAAACCTTGGGTCAGTCTCAGAAAAGTGGGAAGGGAATGAATTGTCCTTCCCTGTCCGAGATGGAGGCCTGAGCTCATAGCCAAGTGGGCAGCACATGACGTCGGCACTGCTTAGGCCCACCCCAGTCGCTTAATTTTCATGTGTGATATTTTGGGTTTTTTTCCCAACCATTTAAAAATATAAACATGTTTAGTTCCTCCCAGCCACCCCCTCCCCTTCCCGTGCATCCCTGGATCTCTGCATTTACAAATCAATGCAGAGGACATTTTCTCATCTTTTCAGTGCACAAATGGCAGCATTTGATACACACTTTTCTGTCCTGTGCCCCTTTTTATGTAACTTTAAGCCTGGACTACTGTTCTATGCTGGTACTGGTCCAGCTAACCCTGGAATGTGGGAGAGGACAATGCCTGTCACGGCCCCCAGTTGATAGATACGCAGATTGTCACACTTGCAGGGCACACGGACCTGTGTTCGCGTGCAAGACGAGCTGTGTGAGGGGCCCTGTGGGACTCATCCCAAGCGGCACAGGAGGCTCAAAGGGTGGCCACATACTGGGCAGGACTTTGACGATCCAGACAGGGCTGTGGGGCCGTCTTCCTTTGACTTTAGTCTGGGCCCAGTGTTTCCAGATGCTCAATGTCTGATTCTATGAAGGAGGAAAGGGGTGGCACAGTGGGGTCGCCATGGTCCTTGCTCTTTTTCTCTAAGCAATGGCCAGGCAGGGGACAGGACCCGCCCAGGATGGTCTAGAGGTGACCTTGAATGCAATTAAGCACTTTCGCCACCTGTTGGCCGCTATGCAGAACTGCACCAGAGAAGAGCTGGACCAGCAAGAAGGTGGGCTAAGGCCGCTTGTTCAGGGGACTTACCGAGCACTGGAGAAAGCGCTGAACAACACAGGTGTGGCCTCTGTTCTTCTGACATTCTCGCTGGGAAGCAGTCACACGTGCATATAATACAATCCAGGTGGGACAGACATGCTGAAGGTAAATGAGCAGGGTAAGGAGGGGAGGTTATGGTGTGATTGCTGACGGCCTCTCCGAGAAGCTACCCTGTGAGCAAAACCTTGAAGAGAGTGGGGACAGAGCTGTGATGTCCAGGGCAGCGATTCTAAACTCTGGCTGAACATTAGAAGCGCCTGGGGAGATAGAAAACAAACCAATAATCCACCCCCTTCCCTGAAGAATGACGTCGGTCTTTGGGCTTGGGCATCTGTACCTTGTAAAGCTCCTCAGGTGATCCTAGTGGGCAGCCAGGACTGAGCTACTAACCTGGTTGGAAGAACATCCCAGGGAGAAGGAAGAGCAGATGTGACAGGCCTGCGGCTGGGGCCTGGCATCTTCCAGAAGAGAAGGCAGGCCCCTGAGGCCAGAGGGGGGCGTGGGGTGGGNCATCTAGGTGTAGATGGCTATTGGCAAAGCTGAAATGGCCAGATTTTATCAAAAGAGAATTTAGATGATTATTAAAAGAGGGTTTTTTTAAGTTGGTAAAACTGGGATAGGGAAAGGGTGGTGGGTAAAACAAAGAGAAATCTAAAAGGATCTTGGATAAAATGTTCAATGTGGCAGAAATGGCCACTTTTAATTAAACAGTAGCAAGTGTGTAGTGTACAATCTTAACACTGCTCATGAAGTCTACCCTTTCGTTTATGTTGCATAATAGAACCATATATATGGGTTGTAAAAGTAATTATTTTGTGTCAATTTCTTCTTAAAAAACAGCATGACAGATAAAAATTTTGGCCTGATAGTTTTTAGAACAGTTATGACTTCTATTACATATTACATTTGAATGATACTTTTCCTTTTACAAAATACTTTTCCATGAGCTTCAACATAAGCCTGGGAGATGGGCTGGAACAACACTCTCATCTTCATTTTACCCATGAGGACGCAGAGCCTTGGAGAACCCAGATGAACTGCACAGGGACACACATATTTTTTTTCTCAAGGTGGTCTTTTGATAATTTATTCTTCTTTTGCTATTATTTTTATTGCAAGTGACAATAAATTGGACCAAAACCCTCCCACCAAATACACAGAAGAAAGTCAAGGCTGGGATTCCACTCTTTTGTCTATATTTCTCTTGCTGTCTGAGACTAGGTGGGGTGGGGTGGGGTGGGGCTGAGGAGCTGGAGGGCGAGTTCTGGCCGAGGTGGGAGGCGCGATGGGTGTATCTGGCCTGGCCGAGCCTGGGTTCCACGCGGTGCCTGACGGAGTCTAAGCACCGGGCGGTGTTTGATCGGCTGCGCCCGCGTCTGGGCCTATCTGGTTGGCGAGCGTAGTTCTCAGGCTTACACTCTAACTGCAAGGGAGGCTGGACCGTGAGACTGCCAGCTCCTGGTGCCGACTCCTGAGCTGGGACTTGTCCAAACGACAACCCGCGGGTTGACAAAAACGGTGACAGCACCCACTGCAGAATCGTCCAAAGTTTCTGTCAGGTCAGCTGTGGAGAGCAGAATTCACCCCGCCAGTCACAGCAGAAGGGGTTGGTAACCCACAGGTGTGATCGGTACGGTGCCAGTTAGGCTAGGTTGGAACTACATTTCCCAGAATCCCTTTCTTGAATGGTTCTCAGAATTGACCCAAAAAGCAGCTTGTGTGAGTTTTTTTTAAAAAAAATCCTCACCCAAGGATATGTTTATTTTGTTTGTTCATTTTTTTTACTGATTTTAGAGAGGGGGAGGGAGAGAGAGAAACATTGATGTATGAGGGAAGTAATTGATCACTGCTTCCCGTACATGTCCCCATCAGGGATCAAACCTCAACTTAGGTATGTGCCCTGACCAGGAATCAAATCGGCAACCTTTCAGCGCATGGGAGGATGTTCCAACCGAGCCACACCAGCCAAGGCCTTGTGTGAGATTTTTGAAGGTGGAAAGGAAGCAGCAGCCTCTTCTCTTTCAAGGTCACTGTGGTGAGCCGTGGCGACAGACAGCTGCCGACGTGCCAGAGGCTCCACCTGGTCCTTGCTGTCCTCTGTGCTGCGTCCAGGTCTTCTTGACCTCCGGCTATCAGTGCCGGCCCACCCCCGGATGCTTGGCTGCAGAGGCGATGGTTCCCCATCGATTTCTCCACCACTGCCCCTCTGCAGACTCACCTGGGTGGCTGGACGTGCCTCATGGCTTCTCAGATTGCCTGGTTGTTGACCCCTGATGCCCCCTTTCAGCCCTTCACTTCCCCAGCTCCTCCCCCCACTGTATAAGGTCCAATTCCCATCATAAATTACCCCAAACTCCTGGGCCAGATCTGGCTGCTTCCCTGATTGGGTTTGATTGAAACATGAATATTTACAGAATCAAAAGGAGGAGCGAGGAAGCCACACTTTAGGACCGAGTCACGTGGGGGGTGGGGTGGGGGTGGGGGGCTGCTGCTCCCTCAGGGTAGGGATCCTGCCCAGCTTTGCTCTGGTCGGCACCTGCAGGCTGCATGCCGTGTGCAGACACCTTTCTCCCCCCTGAACTCGGTACCTAATACAGTCCCTGTGAACACAGCTGATTGGTGGTGCATGCTCCAGATCCTGGCTGTAAGGGAGTCTAGGGAACAGTTTTCAGCTTTCAGCCTCCTCAATTCAGGAAGGTACAAGAGAAGGAGGAGGGGTAGTTGGATGTTGAACAAGCCAGTTTTCACCCAGAGATGTGGCCGGGGATTAAACCCTTGGCTTTGCCATCTGGCCCAGGGCTCTACATGCCCAGGGCTCTTTTCAGGACATGGTGTTAATGGGAAACCATTGTCCCCCTGGCCCAGCAGATAGTCCAAGGCCAGGCCAGTTGGGCACTAGACAGATTGTTAGGACAATTGAGTACTGACCGTGGTTCACCTTGATAACTGAAGAAGGGAAGTCCATTTACACAGCATCTTTTACATTTCAGGCAATTGATATACATTGCATTGTAATAACCTGCATTTTGCAGCTGAGGACATCAGACCCAGAGAGATTGAGAAAGCTGCCTGGGGTCATATAGCTGGTCAGTGGCAGAAGCTGGACTTAACCTCAGTCTAATGACACACAAAAAATGCCTGCTCTTAACCATTACTATATCTTTGTATGAAAGCCATTCATTCATTCATTCATTCATTCTTAATTAGGCACTCATTCTTGGTTGGACAGTTTCAGGTGCTGGGGACACAGTAGTGGACAAAACAGACAGAAGTAGATATAGGGTAGTGGTTAAGATGGGGATTTCAAACTGCTCCCAGGGCCAGGCATAGAATAGAAACCAGTGGAACAGGTTGGGGAGGAAGAACGTAGACATGTTTTCTTTCTAAATTAAACATGTTAGAATAGATTTGTGCATCAGTTTTTCTTCTTGTAACATGTAGGTCCCTTGGTTTACTTTTAGTTTTTCCACTTTTGATAGAAAAATATTTCTCCACTATGAAAAACACAGCCAGCATTGTGATGCTAAATGGTAACTGATACTTGGCCTCAGTGTGTCAGGGAGACAACAGGGTGTGGTGGGGACTGTGGCAAATGGACAAACCTGGAAAGGAGTAGCTGCAGCCACGGTGCAGCTCTAGCTGATTATGTGTAAATACAGGTCCAGTGTTGCCAGACTGCCCACTTTTTTTTGGGAGAAATGTTGAAAATTTAGATTTTGAGTTACATCTCCCAAATTTTAAATAGTTGGATCAAAGTTTGAAAACATAATGCGAGTGCAATAAAACTCATCTGTGGGCAGATCTGGTCTGTGAGCCACTAGACTGCAACCTTGGGCTGAAGAGCATTACTTTAGTTGTCAAAGATGCTGGGTTGGGGTCTAAGCTCTGCCACCTTTCAGCTGGGAGGTCGTGGGTGAGCCACAACACTTCTCTGG